CAATTGGCCTGTCCATTTTCCTACTTCGTTACTTTTAAGGCTGTTTGGTTTGCTTAAGTTGTTAGGACCAATTATTAATAGTAGCATACAAGAGCTAGATAAAAGTTCCTGATGTTTTTCATGTTGCCATACTGGATTTCCTATTTTAACACAATTGCTATACGATTCTGTTAAATACCCTTAAACAACGTGGGGATTAGGGACACTGACATCCCCCACAGTTGAAAATCTGAATGTAACCTTTAACTCCTCCAAAACTTAGCTACTAATAGCCTACTGTTGATCAGAAGCCTTACTGATAATATAATAGTCAATGAACACATATTTTGTATGTTACATGTATTATATACTGTGTTCTTACAATAAAGTAAGTTTAGAGAAAAAAATTATTAAGAAAATAATAAGGGCTGGGTGCAGTGATGCGCACCTGTAGTCCCAGCTACTCTGGAGGCTGAAGAGGGAGGATGGCTTGAGCCTAGGAGTTGGAGGCTGCAATGAGCTATGATCACACTGTTGCACTCCAGCCTGGGTGACAGAGCAAGATTCTATCTCTAAAAAGAAAAAGAAATCATAAGGAAGAGAAAAGTTGTTTACTATTCATTAAGTGGAAGTGGATGGTGGTAAAGGTTTTACTCCTTGTCGTCTTCATGTTGAGTAGGCTGAGGCGGAGGAGGAGGAGGCGGGGCTGGTCTTGCTACCTCAGGGGTGGCACAGGTGGACAGGGAGGCAGAATAGGCAGGCACATGAGGCGTAGCTTTTATTGGAAAAAGATCTGCATGTATATAAGTGGACCCTCACAGTTCAAACCTGTGTTGTTCAAGGGTCAACTGTATTTGGACACCATATACAGAGAAGGAACATTTCTGTTTGTTCAAACACACTAGATCCTGGTCCATCTATTTGCACTGCCCAGTGAGTCTCCCTGCCAAGAATTGGGGTCACCGAGATGGGACCAAGAAGACCACACAGTGTGGGGCCCCGAAAGGGGTGTGGAGTGCGTCACGAGCTTAATTAAGCTTATAAAGAGCTGGCCTCTTTGGAAGCCACAGTTCAAAAGCAAACCAAATGGGTTTCTCTAATAGCTGCATGTAATCTGATTTCCATAGTTATTCTGCAGATGTGAAATGGATGCAGAGCCATGGCACGGGGTGTGTGGGCAGCATACTAAGAAGCGCAAGGCAGAGTCAGTGGAGACAGGAGCTAAGTTCATACTTCTGTATCTCATTAAATTCTCTTTTTATTGAAAAGCGGCCCTTTCCAACCTTCAGGTTAATATTTATGTTTGCTGCTCTGCAAAGCAATTTGGAAAGTAGTTTTAGGTAGGCTACCCCAGAGAGACAGCTAGCTCTAAAGTTCCTCAGGAGCCAGGCCAGGAAAAAGGGGAGGTTTTGCAGTTTACGCCGTTGTCCTTTCTCTTACCTTGAAAAAAAGTACAAATGAATCCACAGCTATCGAGTTCTTTTTTTTTTAATTTAGAGGTTTACTCTGAGCCAATACAAGTGACCTTGGGCTGGCAATGTATAAACTCAAGAAGCTTTGAATAAGTAAGTGGTCCTGAGTCGGACAGATTACGGTTTGGTTTTATACATTTCAGGGAAACAGGAATTATAGGTAAAATCATAAATCAATACATGCAAGGTACCTTGAGTAAGTCCTTTTTTTTTTTTTTTTTTGAGACAGAGTCTCACTCTTTTGCCCAGGTTAGAGTGAGTGCCGTGGCGTCATCCTAGCTCACAGCAACCTCAAACTCCTGGGCTCAAGCGATCCTCCTGCCTCAGCCTCCCGAGTAGCTGGGACTACAGGCATGCGCCACCATGCCCGGCTAATTTTTTCTATATATTTTCAGTTGTCCAATTAATTTCTTTCTATTTTTGGTCGAGACGGGGGTCTCGCTCTTGCTCAGGCTGGTCTCGAACTCCTGAGCTCAAACAATCTGCCCACCTTGGCCTCCCAGAGAGCTAGGATTACAGGCGTGAGCCACCGCGCCCGGCCCTTGAGTAAGTTCTTGATTGTCATCTGTGGCACATGTGAGACAAAAACCCATTGTACCTGACAATAATTTTCAAAAAATGTTCCAATTTGTTATACATTTAATAAGAAAACATCCTATTCTCTGGACAGAGAGGTGCAAGGAAAAGTGAGACAATGAATGCAGTGCTCTCAGTCTGAGACTGCAAGAGCCATCCATCACCCCGGAAAAGGGAACCATTATGAACTTTACCGAGAAGTCGCTGCTTTACGCAGGGTTTCTTAGTCATAATTACCACACTTGCATTTAAAATATGATTCTATTTTTATAAAAATTAGGTCTACAACATTCTAGGAACCCTATTATCATGTAAAGCCCAAGCCAATTCCTCTTACAACTAAGCCTCACTTGGTTGTAGCTAGTCCTCCGGGAAATATGTGGGTCATGGTCAGGCTTAGGGATCTTCTAGAAAAATTCTTTCATGCCTATAATGGCCTTTTTTTCTTTTCTTTTCTTTTCTTTCTCCCCAGAAACACAGTCTCACTCTGTCGCCCAGCCTAGAGTGCTGTGGTGTGATCCTAGCTCACTGCAGCCTCCAGCGTCAGACCCCACGGGCGGCGGGCTGGGCTGGGGCCCCAGACTGCTCTCCCCCCACTTCCCGGGGCGGGTCGCAAGTGTTTCACCTGTGCTCTGCCTGATCGGCTGTAAGTCGGGGCTCCCGCAGTCCCCCTCCTTGCGTTCGATTCATTTTCTACAGTGGCTCACAGAACTCAGGGAAACACTTTACTTACGTTGACCAGTTTAGAATAAAGGATTCCGACGAACACCAGGGGAAGAGATGGGGTGGGTGAGGTACGGGGAAGGGGCGCTGAGCTTCCATGCCCTCCCCAGGCTTCAGCTCCCCGGAAGCTCTCTGAGCCCTGTCCTCTTGGGCCCTTTCTGGAGGCTTCCTTGGGTAGGCATGACCGAAGCAGGGACGACCGTGTAGAAACGAGATTGGACAGAAAGGGTCTTATCTAACACTAACAGACTGAGGGGGACACCCGGCAAGGCCTCCCTGGGCAGCATTCCTTCCTCCCGGGCATGGGGCAGCGCCCCTTCTGAAACGGGGTCTTATGATCAGACAAGATGGGTCAGAGAATTTATGGCCAGCTCCAGGACAGAAAGGCGGGCAAGATTAGAGTCTATCTTCAGTTTCTGCCCTGGGGAGGAAGGCGCAGGTGAAGGGCAGCGAGAGAGAGATGCTGTTTCCTGGGGCCTGAAGTGCCCCAGCGCTACAGCAACGGACCGCCTTTCACCGTTACTGCTCTGACGCTGTTCCCAAGCTGCTTCGGTAGCCAAGGACAAAAGGCCAAATACTTTAACAAAAGACATGCTTATTGTTTTAATCACTTAAGAAATGACAGGGTTATGGGAGTTATGAGCCAGGAACAGTGGATGAAAACCAGTGTCTAGATCATGATATGACAAGGGTCTTTGTGGATGATCAAGTTAAGATGAAGTCATTAGAGTGGGCTCTAATCCAACACAACTGTGTCCTTATAAAAACTGGGACGCAGAGACACGCACAGAGAGAGGACACGTGAACACGCAGGCAGAGATCAGGGTACTGACCCACAAGCCACGGAGCACCGCGGGCCGCCAGCACACCAGCAGGAGCTGGGAGGGGGCACCAGGCTGATTTGGGTTTGTAGCCTCCCAACTGTAAGAGAATACGTTTCTGTGGTTCTGAGCCCCCCAGGCTGTGGCACTTTGTTCTGGTGACCCCGATGCTATTGCGGCATTCTCTCCCTCTGCCTTCTGCCCTGACAGTCTTCTCTTCCTTTACTGAATGAAGGGCGAATGTCCCTTCCTTGACAGCCTCCTCCGCCCAGCGGCTGTTCTCCCCCAAGCCCTCTCCCTCCCTCCAGGAGGCTCTTTGCTGCCTGCAGCTTACTTGGCCATAACTGGTCTCCTTGACTACTAACTCCTGGAGGGCACACCCAGCCCGGAGGCCTGGCCTGGCACCCACTTGGCCAACATAAATGTTTATTGCACTGGACGGAAGTTGACAGTGCGAGGCTCCGAGCTACCGCAAGGGAGATGGGAAAATAACTGTGACCCACACTCAGACCTAAACTCTGTGCTTCTCTGCAGGCGCCGCCCTCTGATAGCCCCTGTGTCTGGAGAGTGACCCCACCACCATCCTGGCGCCCAGCAGGACACCAGCCGTAAGTCTGGATTCTTCAATCTTGGGGCCTCTAGCCATGGGCCTCTGCAGGAATCTCTTCCCCTCTCTCCTCAGCCGTGGGTCTCCGCTACCTGCTGTGCACGCATCAGCCAGAGGCAACCCCGTGGAACCCAAACCCCAGAGGTCACACCACGCTCAAAGCCCTGCCTGCCCCCCTCAGGATAAAGCCCTGTCTCCTCTGCTTCCAACACCTGCAGAGCCTGCCTTCCCCTCCTCTCGTCTCCCCTGGGTCCCACGCAGCCCTGGTCCTGCTCTTGGGCTGGCCCGACTGTGTGTACCCGCCCCGAGCTGTCTTCTGGGGCGCCCCACCAGCTCTTCCACGAACACCCCCCAGTCCCCTTGGAGGAGCTCAGGTGTGGACTGAGGTTCCCTGTCCCGCAGCACCACCCTGCCCCCAAGCTTCTGACGGGTGGGGACGGTTCCTTGTTCGCCAGGGTTCCCGCAGCCCCAGGTCTGGTTCTTGTTAGAACCTCAACAACCGGCAGTACGCATTTGTGTGGTTCTGTGATTCTGGGGTCGCGCGCCCCGCTGGATCCAGCACCGTCAACCGGCAAAGCCCAGGGCTCAAACGTTGGCAAAAAGGCCGCAGGCTGAGCCCTTGGTGTTGGTCCCCGCGCCCCCGGTTCTTTTGAGAGTCAGCTGCCCGCGCAGCGCGGGACAGGGGCAGACGGCTCCGCTGGGGCGCGCAGACCTGGGCGTCCGGCCGCCGGGGGCCGCGCTCCAGGCCGGGGCGGGCGCGGGGCGGGGGCCGGCGGGGCCGCGCCCTCGGCCACTCCCCGGGGCGGTGGCGACCTGGGCGGCTCTCACACGCGCTCCGCCCGCGCCGGCCCCACGCGCGGCCCATGTTCTCCGCGCCACCGCGCTCGCCCACGCCGCGGCCTCCCAGGATGAAGAAGGACGAGTCGTTCCTGGGCAGGCTGGGCGGCACGCTGGCGAGGAAGAAGAAAGCCAGGGAGGGTGAGTGCGGCCCGCGCACGCGCACACGCGCCCGGCCGCCGCGTGCCGGGACCCACGCTGGGCCGCCCCGCCCCGCCAGCGGGACCCACGCGCACCGGCTGCGCGGCGCGACCTTGGGGACGGGCCCGTCCTGCTCCCCGAGCCTTTAAACGCTGCCGAGAACCAGCCGCGCCTGCCCGGGTCCCGCGTTTGGGGCTCGGGCGTCTGTTGATCGCGCGCCGCCAGCTCCTGCTCGGCCCGGCCAGAGCAAACGTCCGGTTCCCGCGCCCACCCTCGCTGCAGTCGCCATTTATTTAGCACCGTGCGTGGCCAGGCGACAGCCACGGCCGATCGCCGAGCACGCACCGGCCGCTCTGCGAGCTGGCACGCCGGGCCGGGAGCGCCGGCCGGGGACCCGCGGTGTTTCGCTGCGCGCGTGTCCCGCCGGGCACGTGGGGCGGGAGGCGAGGAGGGGGCCGCGGGACGTGCGGCCAGAGGCCGGGGAGCCGTGCGAGCAAGGCCTGCGGAGATCCCCCGATTTTTTTTTTACCCCATGTGCTCACGAAAATATTTCTGAAAAACTCCCCACCTCCTGGTACATTTTTAAGTTTTTTGGAGTTGCGAGGGGCATTGTGGCGTCTTTAAGCCTACAGCTTTCCCAGGGCCTCCCTGGGAGCTGCTTCCTGAATTTTCCCTTTGTTTGGGCCTGAGGTTCTTCCCCTGGCAGTGCCTTATTGTGAGAACGCAGAGGGGGCAGAGGCGAATTAAAGAATGTGGGTGCCGCTGCCAAAATGCGAGGGGAGGCAGGAAGCCCGGGGGCTGGCCTCAGGCAGGTCACTGGGAAAGAGCTCTCCAGCTGGGCATATGTGGAGTGTTGTCTTTAAACTACCTGGGCCTGACTTGTCCCCCAGAACTCTCCCTGTGCCTCCAGCAATGAGTGCGTACCCCTGGGACACATGTAGCTCCACTGTGTATTCCTGGGGACGTGTGTGCCCATGGGACACATGTGACAGATGTACCTCCAGGGGTTGCGTGTCTGTGTGTGCCCCATGCACCCCACCCCGGGGATTTGTGTGTGTATAGGGAATGGGCATCCTCCCGGGCACTGCCCCCAGGGATGCCTGTCTCCCCAGCATTATCCACCTCCCCCAGGGCAGGCCCCTGTCAGCTTCAGTAGGTCTCCTTCAATATTTCCAAGCAAATTGGACACTGCTCTCTCAGGCCTTGCCCTGGAGAACCCACCCTGGCTTGTGTTAATCTGTTTGTCAGGTCTCCTAAATGAGATGATAAGTGGCTGTCACCCTTCTCTCTGTCATCGCCACTGCCTCTCTGATGTGCTTCCTCCCCTGCAGTCAGCAGTGCCCTCACCAGAAATCTTTTCAGTTCCTCTTTACGCCTTACAATTACAGACCTCCCCCTCCCAACTCACTCCGCAGTCTGCTGCACGCCTGCCGGGGGCTGTCGCTTTCATGGAACGGGGAGTCGTAATGAGTAAAGGAATAGTACCGTGATGACGTGTGCGATGGCGGAAATACAATGGGGCAGTCAGAGTGCCCACGGAAGGTCTCTGGGGACGCGATGTTTGGGTTGAGACCAGAAGGAACCAGAGAAAAGTCTTTCGCAGAACAGCAGACGCGGAATGTTCTGGACTATCACAGCGTTTTACAGGTGGTATTTATGCTCTGGGAGTACGAAGAGCACACACCCAAAGTAATGGGCTGCTCCTGAGTTTCACAGTAAAGTGCTTGGCGTCCTGGCTTTCATGAATTAATGTGTGCCTAGAAAATTGAGGGCCAATCTGGTTCAATTTAGATACGCCAGGAATCCCGGTAGCCCAGAGCACCTGTGATGAGTAGAGTAGACAAACAGAAGTGAGTTGTTGCCAGCGTTGCTGATGTTGCTTTCACATGAGTTAGCTGAGCGCCCCCGCGTTGGTTCTCAAGGTTGGGGTGCCTGGCACCCTAGGGGTCCCCCATACAAACAAATAGAAAGCCACCAACCCTAATTGGACCAGACACAGGAATTGAGGGAGGGGCTGGACTGGGAAGGGCTTGGTGGCTTCTCTGTGGTCTTCTGGGAAGTGGAGGAGTCAGGAAAACTGGATAATGAGGTCCTGAATAATTGAGACTTGCCAGTATTTCTGCAGGCCTGTTGCCTTGGCAACTTGCACTCCTGGCCACTCCTGGTGGGAGCAGCCCCTGGCCCTGACTCCGGGCATCAGAGCTGGCTCACGTGCCTGCAGGGAATGACCAGGAAGAGGGCGCTTAGGAGGGTCTCTGAGGCGCTGCCCGCCGCGCTTCCTCCTTTGTTAGAAAGCTGACGGTGGAGTCAGGACAGTGGGTGTGACTCTGACATCTTCCTGAGTCGAGGGCCCCGTAGGGGGGTGGGGAGCATGCTGGAAAGCCCGTGGGCGTTCGGCCTCACCCGACTGGCAGAGGTCCTCTGGGCGGGACGAGGCGTGGAGGGACATTTGGGGTAAACGTCCTGTTCTGGGGGAGGCAGCGTTAGGAAACGTGGGGTGCTGGGGTTTGGAGGAACAAACGCAGGAAGTGTGTGTGCACGAACTTCACTGCGGGCGTGACTAAGGCTCATCCTCGGGGGAGGCAGCGCCAGGAGTGTCACGTGGTGGCCGGTTCAGAAGAGGGAACTGTGACTAACTGTGGGCATTGGGAACGTGGGCAGGAACACTTCAGACCCCGGAGCTCCCACAGGGGTCTGGGGACTTCAGAGGACACTGCTAGGGACGCAGGCTCCACTTTGCTGGGGCTCCGAAGAGCTGGTGTGGAGGGAAGACCCCTCCAGACCAGGTCCTCCTGGTGACCCCAGAGGAGGGACCCCATCAGTCCAGCGGGCCAGCAGGTGGGCCGGCACAGCACCGCCGCTGTGAACATCCGTAGAGGCTGCAGCCAGCTCTGGGACCAGCGAGGCCCTGACAGAATGGGGCTGGGTAGAGTCGCCGCCACCATTCGCCGTGGGAGGCCAGCTCTGCGCTGTGCCCAGACGCCGACATCCAGGCACCGCTGGCCAGTGACCCGTGTCAGGATTTCTCAGCGAGACCAGCAGAGCCAGGGAAGCCACGTCCAGGGGTCCTGTCCCTCTTTCTTCTCTAGGGAAGACATTAAGGAAGTTTCCATTCCCTGATGGCTTTAAAAATATGTGTGTATTAATTATTTAGAGCAGTTTTAGGGGTTCTGTCTGTCCCTTCTCCCAGCCCCTCACTTCCTGTCCATCCGTACCCCCAGGCCGTGTGGTCCATTGGTTACAGTCGTGAACCGGCACTGAGACATCATCTCCCAGCGACCGTCGTTGGCATTAGGGGTCGCGCTGGTGTTGAACACTCCGTGGGCCTGGACAGATGTATGATGATAGGTACCTGCTGCCGCAGCACCACACAGAGCAGCTCCACTGCCCTAAAAACCCCCTACGCTCCACCCAATCATCCCTCCGCTTCCCCGAACCCTGGGCAACCACTGGTCTTTTTTTTATTGTCCCCATGGTTTGTCTTTTCTAGAATGTCATTTAGTTGGAATCATACAGCGTGTAGCCTTTTCAGATTGGCTTCTTTCACTTGGTAATGTTCTTGCGGTTTCTCCGTGTATTTTCATGGCCGACAGCACATTCTTTTCGGCACTGCATAGTAGTCCGGTGTCTGGGCAGCCGCTGTTCGTTTATCCTCTCACCTACTGAACGCCGTCTTGTTGCTTCCAAGTTTGGGCAGTTATGAATGGAGCTGCTGTAAATATCCGTGTGCTGGTTTTCGTGTGGACGTACGTTTTCAGGTCATTTGGGTTCATACTAAGGAGCTCAGTTGCTGGATCTTACAGTAAGAGTATGTTTACTTTTGTAAGAAACCCTCAAACTGTCTTCCAAGTGGCTGGACCGTTCCGCATTCCCACCGGCAGCGGGTGGGAGTTCTGGTTGCTCCATATCCTGGCCAGCACTTGGTGTTGTCAGCGTTCTGGGTTTTGGCCATTGTATTAATAATAGGTGTGTGTGTGTGGTGGTATCTCCTTGTTTCAGTTTGCATTTGCCTGGTGACGCGATGTAGAGCATCTTTTCATATGCGTGTTGCTGCCTGTGTATCTTCTTTGCTGAGGTGTCTGTCAGCGTCTTTAGCTCATTTTTAATCAGGTTGTTTGTTTTCTTGTTGTTGAGTTGTAAGAGTTCTTTGTATATTTTGGATATAAGTCCCACGTCAGATAGGAGTTCTGCAGGTATTTTCTCCCAG